CCAATTTCATGCAAAAAGCATGGACTATAGCTCATGGTTTTGATTGATTTTGGTCTATTTTCAAACCTTTTATAAAATAATAAATTATTAATTGGGTGTTCAAATTAGGTCATTTTGGGACAATTTCATACAAAAAGCATGGACTATGGCCCATGGTTTTGATCGATTTTGGGCCATTTTAACACCTCTTATAAAATAATAAATTATTAATGAAGTATGGAAAAAAGGCCATTTTTGGCCAATTTCATGCAAAAAGCATGGRCTATAGCCCATTGCTTTTATCGATATTTGGGCATTTTTACACCTTTTATAAAACAATAAATTATTAATGAGGTATTGAATATAGGCTAATTTGGGCCAAATTCTTGTTAAAAAGTTTTTTTCATTCACTACTAATTATCAAAACGAACTTACCTTTTACTGGTTTGAGGATGATTTTGGACCAACTATTATAGTTAGAAGTTATCGAAATAAATATGTTTGAATATACATATGTATATTCCTTCAGCAGTTGAAAACGGGGGACTGCTTACGTATACAGTCATATATACATTGGAGAACATTTATTTTTTGATTGGATATGGGGTACAGTGGGCCGTGAATGTGCTTCGCTACTCGGATTCTAATTACCACCTCCCCATTCCTTTTGAGTCTGGCTTTTCTTTCTCTTTTTCTTTTCTTTCTTCGTTTTCATTGAACGATGGTTCAAAAGGTTAAACTGATATTAAGTTATTTCTTTTTTTATTAGCAATTTTAGCAAGTGAACAACAAGAAAAATTTAAACTTGTGAAACATTTTTGGTACTTCCTCTTTTATTCAGGGTCCGATCAGAAGGACAGTAAACGTCCGAATTATCAGAACAGGTCCAAAGGTTTTAACATAGTGTTTAAGAGTATCCTTCGTAAACCCCTTGCATGTGACGCCAAAGCAACTCATTTTAGAGGACAAATCATAGGAATACCAATCTCATGAGAAATAGATACCTGTTGTCATGTCCTCCAATTTCGGAGCTGCATTCCAACGTACAGCAGTACCATCAGGGTCTATACACTGGTTGTATTCAACACACCAACACCAAACCAATACCTGGTAGTCGTTATCAGTTTATTGGTTTCATGGAGACCTTAAGAATACAATGTGAACTAGGAATGTTTCCTATTAATATAAACCTACTAATGTTGTATCATGAATCCTGCGCCTGATTGGCGGAGCTACTAGTCGTATATTAAGAATACAATGTGAACTAGAAATATTTCCCATTAATATAAACCTACTAATGTTGTATCACGAATCCTGCGCTCTGATTGGCTGAATTTCTAGTTGTATATTAGGGATAGACCACAAGTAGGGAAAGGTGCCGGTTTTGAAAACCAAACCAATGCGTAAAATAAATTATTTCAACTTAATTTCAAAACTTGTGGTGAAGCCGATTTTGGATCAATTAGTAAGTTTATACTAAAATAATTAGACYTCCTCTCGCCCTCATGGTCTACGACTCAATAGACTATTCGGCATTCGGCTTCATTGGCTATTGACTCGTAGACCATTTAGGCTGCGGGTCTAATAACCCTGAAGCGAGATGACGTTTCCCCCCCGTCTCTAGACCATAATCCTTTTCACATTGCTTTTGTTCTTTAATTATGACTATTGTTCCTGTATTCTCTAAGGAATCAAAAATTTTAATATGAAAGAATTTTGAAAACTATTATGGTATAGAATCGGGGGTAAAACGTCATCTCGCTTCAGGCTTATTGTTAATTAAAAATTAATAGATGCTTTCATAAAATTATACAAGATTGATTGCGATATTCTTGTGTCAGCAGTGCATGGGGTTGACTCCCATCAAATTCAGGCCTAGGCCAATCTATTGCTATATGCTATTCTTTTTATATTTCTCCATTACCTTGCATCGAACTTGAAGAAACAAATTAACAAACATACCACATAAATAGGAACAATATGTGAAACATGGCCACGTTTTTATCGTTTTTCTTCGTGCACTTCACTTTACTTTTTGCGAACCTTCTCACCAAACACAAGTATTATTTCATTTATGCACTTGGAGATTTTGTTTCACAAATTTTAAAGAATTATTTTGTGCTTGCCAACTGACTTTTCACGTTTGCATTAAACAAGCAAACAAGTATACACTGGCACGAGCTCCCCTTCTTTATGGTCACGTCCACGGCACAATGATTCCGTACTACTGTGTGATGGATCCCCACTTTGTTCTAAAGCTGACACAAGTCGTCTTAAAATACTAAATAAAAATAGACCTATCAAACAATCTAAAGTTATTCAAAGAAAGTGTTATTCCAGGGTTAACCTGAGTATCAAGCTCTCTTGGGGAGAGGGGGAGGAGGAGAGGGGGAAAGGGGAGCCCCTTCTTCTCGTCTTCCCCTCCTCCTCCTTTTCCCATTCTTCTTCCTCTTCCCCTCCACCACAATTTCCCTCCCCCTCTCCTGGGGCCTGATACTCAGGTTATTCCAAGGATGGACAGTGCACATTCTACTTCGTTTGTCAGTGCTCCTTTTGAATGTACTGGAGTAGATTTTGCATGACTATGAAAAAGCACGGCACACAACACCGTCAGGGTACCGAATTGACAACATCTTTTGACATCGTGACACCGTCACGCTCAATGTACGTCACGGCACGTCCCTATCATTACAGTCGTCATAGTAATTGTGCTCTAACATGGCTGCTACGACGCTGTCTCTCACCGCTGTGTGTTCTGTTTAGTTCACGCGGGTCGCGGGTTCGATTCCCGACCGCGTCATATATGTGAGTTGTGTTTGATTTGTTGTTCTCTCTCTTGCCACGAGGGTTTTACTCCGGTTTCTCCGGATTTTCTTCCTCTGTAAAATCTATGTGCGAGATAAGTGTTGTATTTTGTAAATGATGAATGTAGTTGTAATACGTGTAGAGCGAACCTCAAGGAACAGCCCCTTGCGGGGATTGAAGAGAAAAAGAGAGAGAGAAATCATTGCAATTGTTTTGCCTGATGTAGGTGCCTGGTGTGTGCTTAGAATCCACACATCGCAAATTATTTGATGCTCAACTGTGATAGCTTATGATTACACGAAATCTGTAAATGGGATTTGTGTTGTAACAGATGCAGGACCAGCATATCGAGCTGTCTTCTTCTCAACAATCCAGGACTTTCTTTCTCCTTTGAAGCCAATAAATGTCCAAGCAGTTCGGTACTCAATGGTTGGGGTTGTTGCGCCGATGGACAAAAAAGCGTTGCTATCATAGTATTGGTTACCGGTATCAGCAACTAGGACAAGAACAATAGAGTTGGCAGGAATAGTACTGATGTATGAAACCATCTTGGATGCGGCTCCACTATCTGCATGTGAGTCAAAAGTAACTCGAGGTCCAACAATAGCAGTGCCATTGAATGTCACCAACCGAAAGCTATGGCCACGAGCCTGAATGAGAGATGATAAGCAATTATCAAATTAATACTGGTTCGTGAGCAGGCACTTCGACTTGTAAGCTTAATATGTGAGTAAACATGACACTTGTTCAAAAGTCCAATTAAAATGATAATAATAATATAAAATAATTAACAATAATAATAATAAATAATAAAATTAATAGTGATAATAAAAATAATGAATGAATGAATAAATGAATGAATGAATGAATGAATAAAGAAAGAAAGAAAGAAATTTAGTAAAGAAAGAAAGAATTGACAATGATGATAACAATAACGATAACGATAACGATAACGATAGCGAAAACGATAACGATAATGATAGGCGATAGGCGATAGGCGATAAGAGATAGGCAAAAAGCAATACGAGATAGGTCATTCCAAGATCCAAGAATAGCAGATGAACCTTAGTGTTAAAACTGATTCAGTATTCTTTGTAGCTACAGTCGACGAAACCATTTCCATGTCGGAAGACGTATCTCTTATCGCCTTTGGCGATGACAACGTTTCTTTATATAACTATATAAACAAATAGACTTACTCCAGTTTGAGAGAGGGGGTACTTATGGCCATTGACTTTAAAATACGAGTCCAGAAAGATATTATGATTCGGCCCTAGAGGATCATCAGTCCCATATGCCTTGAGTTCAATGTCGATGTACGCTAGGATAAAATACAGTACAATCAATACAGTAAATCGCTGGGTAATGTCTGGGGGAAAGGGGTTTAGGGAGAAGACTCTAGACAGAGGATAGTCTTGGGCAAAACTGTCAAAATATTAGGGACCATATTTCAAAATTGTCAAGATAGTTAAAGGCAAATCCTTGAAATGAAAAACAGTGCAACACTATAGCACTATTACTATAGCCTTTTCATAGTTTAAGAATCGATTCCACTGCGCATGCGATTTTATCCCGAATTTCTCACCTTCTTTTGTTTAATTAAGAACAAAGAAGGTTTAGACAAAAGAATGTAGAAATTTGGGATAAAATCGCATGCGCAGTGGAATCGATTCTTAAACTGTGAAAAGGCTTATCTGCGGACAAAACAAAAGACTTCCTTCTCTTGAGGACTGGAATATTTTTGATGTTCTTCATTATTTTGACTCCATGCAGGTAGAGATTTAGTGCAAGAGGTCTATATATTTTGAAGACATAGGTATGATTTCTAAAACTGATCAGGCCGAGGGTTATGGAGGGATAAAGACCAGACTAATCCTACTGGTGGCTATGACGCTCACACTGGATATAACAATGAATGAGTGCTAAGCAGAATTTGCTAGTTGCGGAATGCGTGAGCCACAGGTGTGACAAAAACTGAATACCGTATATATAGGTGAACTTACGCTTCCAACACTGATACGATGAAGTGGTCTGTAGACGAGGAACACAGATGTCTCCTGCAGGACAAGGACTGCTTGTACAACCGCTCTGTGGATAAAATGGTTCAAGCATTAATTTCTTTTCTATTTTTTGGACCGTTTTCGAGTAAATCTTTGTTGATGGGTCATGACTCTCGTAACATTTTAAAAATAACTTTCATTTATATTTATCAAAACCGCTGGAGATTTTTTGAAAGCGCTTTTAGGAGAATGCGTTGCGTTGTTTTACAAATATTGTTTAGTAAAAGGTAATTCTAGAAAGAATCCAAGGTACCATAGAGACCGTTTATAACAGAGGGTGACCCTATTCTCCTCATAGGGCTAAAAAAACATTTTTGTGGTCCCAAAGAATTTCTTAAGTGATAAAAGTCTTAGATCAGCACTATGTATGATTAAACAGATATATATATCTAAATTACGAGTCTCCAAATCTACTTCTGCTTATGGCAACTTAACCTTTTGTTATCCTTAATTGTTAATAATGTATTTTTTAACTTGCTGAGAGAAACTAAACTTGTTTGCTAGAGTCCACTCGTCAAAGTTCTCGTTGCAAAGCTGACGCACAAGAACTGATTTCAAAGTGGTTTTGATCCACACAAAATGGATTTTGCTTTTTGAATTTAATTTTTTAACGTTTTTTAAAAGAACGATTTTTACATAAACGAAAGAAAAGAGAAAAGAAAAGAGGAAATAAAGAAGAAAAGAGGATATAAAGAAACGAACGAATAAACAAAGAATTGCTGTAAAATACAAAACCAAATTCAAATTCAAATTTCGCAGTAAAAAGCTGATGGAGGACTCATATTTAAGGTTTTTCCCCCCAGGAAATTCGTTATTATACTTCATTGACTACGCTGAAAGATAGCCCCATCCAAAAAAAAAAAAAAAAAATTGGTATTGAAGTTACATTGATAATGTTTCTCACGAGTCTATAAAATATTWTTTTAAATAATAAAAGTGCACTAGTTTGGAAAATGAAGTTAAAGCGTTTTATAGTTCCTCTTACCACAACGCTGCGGTGCTTGTAACCAGTTTTGGTCACCAAATAGAACATTTCGGCAAAATGTACTTTACTGCAAACCTCACAGACCAATCGTTCGCCTTCTTTTGGACCGAGATTGTAGGAAAAGCAGCCTTGATACATTAAACACTTTAATATACATTCGTCCTCGTTAGAAACGTTCACACTCAGAAAAACAAGTGATGAATTCAAAGCTTTGTTGTCGATAGCAGTTTCAAAGTTTCGTGTTTGGAGAAGAGGAGTATCAAGATGGTTTAGGTTAAATTCGGCGACTGTAGAATAAATAATAACGAAAAGAAGAAGGGAAAGACAAGTAAAGATATTGTTGAGCATCTTGCTTCTTCAACCGCTTAATCTTCTACACTAAACGTCAACTTAAGGACTAACTTAAAGTAATTGTTTGATATGATCCATTCAACAAACGTTCTGCAGATGTTTCAGTAAAGCAAAATTATTATCATAGAGATTGAAATAATAAGAACAATAGCAACTAGGTATTGACAAGGCAACAAAAGAAGCATACGTTACATAGGCAAACAGTAGAAGATACATCAATATTTTAAAAAAGTATTTTGGAGTTTTAATTTCGATAAATCAGAAGACGATTCTTTTAATTAATCGATTAAATATAAACTCTTTAAGCATCTAATATTAGATAAGCGAATAAGAAAAAAAGAACTTATTGATTTGTATCTGGTTCAGTGCCAAGATCCTCCTTGCTTCATTTTTTATTCATCATCTTCAACTTTGATGAAACTTAATAATTAATGGATAAGCATCAGAACATAATCGCGTTGGTATCCCTTAGACATTTTATTATCCCGGGTAAATCAATATAACGTAAATAGTCTATGCTTATGTAATTCATAGTGTTGGATAGTTGTAAGGTGACAGTGTGGATGGTGTTGAATGGTTGTAAGGTGACAGCGTGGATAGTGTTGGATAGTTGTAAGGTGACAGTGTGGATGGTGTTGGATAGTTGTAAGGTGACAGCGTGGATAGTGTTGGATAGTTGTAAGGTGACAGTGTGGATGGTGTTGGATAGTTGTAAGGTGAGAGTTTGGATGATGTTGGATAGTGTTAAGGTGACAGTGTGGATGGTGTTGGATAGTTGTAAGGCGACAGTGTGGATGGTGTTGAATGTTTGCAAGGCGACAGTGTGAATGGTGTTGGATAGTTGTAAGGTGTCAGTGTGGATGGTGTTGGATGGTTGTAAGGCGACAGTGTGGATGGTGTTGGACAGTTGTAAGGTGAGAGTTTGGATGATGTTGGATAGTGTTAAGGTCACAGTGTGGATGGTGTTGAATGTTTGTAAGGTGACAGTGTGGATTGTGTTGAATGTTTGTAAGGCGACAGTGTGGATGGTTTTGAATGTTTGTAAGGCGACAGTGTGGATGATGTTGGATAGTTGTAAGGTGACAGTGTGGATGGTGTCGAATGTTTGTAAGGTGACAGTGCGGATGGTGTTGGATGATTGTAAGGTGACAGTGTGGATGGTGTTGGATAGTTGTAAGGTGACAGTGTGGATGATGTTGGATAGTTGTAAGGTGACAGTGTGGATG